GCAGAAAATATTCTTGTCTTAGTTTTCAAGTTTAAACAGGAGCAGAAATCTCTACTATCTTTGCAGACTAACTACAAAAGGTAAATGCTTCTATGAATGTTTTTTGGAAGAAGGTGCATGAAAATGAACCTGCTCTCAGCCTGCAGTTGTTTTTTGACACCAGTTATATGAACAAAGTATTATAATTACTGTTATCACTGTACAATGTGTTATTGAGATATGATGCTTCAGAAGACTTACACGTGAAAAAAAGTTCATCACTGCCAAGGGCCCCATCCTTTCTGGTACTCAACTTTCAAACTTTGCCTTAATTCAGTGCAATGAGCACCTAGTAGGATATGCCCAGCCTCTGTTACGACATAACCAATGCAAATGCGGTGCAAACTCATTCCTGTGTTGCAGTATTTTCCTAGGAAGTGTGAAAGAGTGACTGACAGAACATGCTGCCATGTTAAACTACAGTTTACCTTCAAATGGCCCTACAAAAAGCTTCATAAGTCCCCTTGACTTCACTTGTGGACAGATCAAATAAAAGCAAATGCAATATTGGCAATGTTACAGTGTGGGATGCTGCACAGGCAAATAATTTTGGGTCTGGGTTTCAAGCTGTCACCTGGCTGAGGCCATGCACAAGATCACAGCAAATGTGAAAACAGGACCTGAAGCAAGCCCCTGCATTTTCAACCGCGATGGAAGCTGACAATCAGAAGGAATGGTGAATGATGGTGCATCCTCTGCTTCCTGCATTCGACAGACCAAGAACAAGTGTCTTCCTGGGACCATGCTTTTGCCAAACACGTCACTGAGCTCTGTATGGGGACAACTGTGAAACATAGACTCTTGATACAGCCAGGACAGATGAGATGGTGTGAAATCTCCCTCCAGTTATGAACTACGAATTGAGGAAACACAAATTGTCTATGGATATCCCAGATATCTGAATGGCCACTTGAGATGACATGTGCCTTAATTTGCACGTGTAGTCTTTACAACTACACATTCAAATTAGGCAAGTAATTTCACCTGCATTTTTGCACATGGCCTAGTGTTCTTTAGGGTTTGAAAATCAGCCCCAGCATGTTTTATGATATCAGTTACTGGAATCTAAGGACATTTTTATGCAGATTTGCCTTCCCCTCACCAGCCTCATTCTGTATCTCACAGTACATCTCAGGCTAGACTCAAACAGTGAACCAGAGCTGGCTCACTTTCTGGTACACAGTAGTGTTAACTCCCCATCTTGTCATGAGTATTGTGCAGATCAGTTGCATCCGTGGCAGGGGTCTAGCCAAACCCAGCTCACTGCAGGCTTGTCATCAGACAAGCTGGCCTGGAAACTGGAATGAGAAGGAGAGGAAGAGAGAGGATTTACTAGACAGGGAGAAGTGTGAGAGGATGAATTGTTTAGTTTCACAATATTATCAGTATTACAGACTTTTTTCTTTTTATGGCTTACTTTTTGAGAAGCCACTGGAAGAGATATTCCCAAACCTTTTTCTACAGTAATTGTATAATGACAATCAGTGTTATCCTACGAAATGCAGCTTTTGATTTGGAATGGCCAACCAATTCCTTACAGCGTGGTCTGCAACTTGTACAAAATGGTCCTATTACATGATGAAGGACGTGAGATATGATGATGTTATACATCAATATGTATATAAGTATTTTTATATAGACTTCTAGAATACTGCCAAAACATTTATGACAGCTATATCACTGCCTTTGTTTATATTTTTTTTACTGTGATATATTCCACAGGCACGTTAACTGTTGCACTTTGAATGTCCAAAAGCTATATTTTAGAATAATAAAAAAGGAAGTGTTTCCAAAATGATGGCTGTTGTGAAATGTTTGAAGAAGGGCAAACTGGCCTGAGCGACGGTAGGCACAAAATGTATTTCAAAAATGCCCCTGTTGATATTTTGTCTTTGAAAAAAATCTTGTAAATTAAGATCTCTATATTTCAATAAATGATATATAATTTAAAGATATGTGAGGGGTCTATACTCACTTATTGAAAGATGGTTGTAAAGAATCAGTCTTGCTCAGGGGTTTTTCCCCTCAAGAAAGAGCTCTTTGAGCTCTCTGCAAAGCCATCAGGCAGTAATGACAAGCATGCATCCGAGCCCTTCCAGTGGGCATAGTGAGGAAGTGCTGGCAGCGAAAGACCGGGATACCGAGTGACATCTGTGGGGAGTCACATTATCTCCCAAAACATAGCAGGTAAGGTGCTCCAGCACTGGGTGGGTGAGTGGGTGGGCACTGGGCTCCCTGCACAAGATAAAACCCTTGGCCTTGGCACCATGTGTGCTGGGGCATTGATGCCTGCTGGTCTGCACACACCCGGGAAAGGCCCCTGGCAACAGGGGAACAAGAACTTGTGCTGAACTCACCTCCTTTGTGAAACAAACCAGATTATTACTATGGTTCTGGGCTCCCACAGTGATGAGTTTTACACAGTGTATGTAACTGAATGGGAATTTGAGGAGATTTGCAAGATTTCAACCTGAAATCTGAGTTAAACTTGACAGCTGCACTTCCTGCACAAAAGCCTGTCGGTTTTTCAGTGGGAGCCAGGCAAGGCTGACTGTGGGAATGCCCTGTGAATGGTAGGTTAGCAGCCTTCCATCCTTGGCGTGGTCACTGTTCTTGCTGGGAACTTGCTGGGAAATGAATTCTCCATCTAACATCTCCCCCTCCTCAATCAAATGGGGTGCAGCATCCTGAGCCCTTTAGATAAGAGTTACAGTAGGTTGTCTCTCCTTTGTGTGTCCTTGCTGAAAGGAGTCTTTATCCTGTAACACTGCACAGACACACCACTTCCTGTCACCACAGGGGGACAGGAAAGAGTTCTGGAAGTGATTGTGTCCCTGCATCCTGCTCAGCTGTGCACCTGCTCTTCTGGAAGCCCAGCAGCTGTGTGAGACACAAGGACTGATGGACTGGTTATTTCTGCTGTGTGGGGTAAAGGGTGGGGGTACCCAAATCTCTCTCTATGAAAGAGCCTGGGTACAGAGCATTCACCCAAGCACAGGGCATGACTGTGTGTGCCTGTGAGCACATCTGTCCATGCTGGGGAACACGGACAGTGAGTTTCTCACCTTCTTGCTGAAGTACACCCATTTTGGGCAACATTCTAGCCCCTTGCTGCACCAGACTGGGGTTCCACACATCATCTTGCTCCCTGTCTCAAGGCCTCAGCAAGTATTTGGCTGGAAAAGTGCTGAGGGCATGCACTGGCACACGGCAGAGGCAGTCTGCCCAGGAAACAGGAGCTGTGAGAGAGCAGCACTGTGCCAGGAGCAGAGAAGGGCAGGCTTCTGGCAAGGAGGATAGGAAGACCAACCCCAGTTCATTTCCATCCAAGCGACTGGAGGATGAAACAACTAAGAATTAGAACCACCTCTAAAAATTCCAGCATTTCCTTTCATTTGTTAATAATAACGTTACTGAAATAATGACCCAAATTTTTCTTTTCCAAGTTGGCCACAAGATGGAAGCAACAGACAAAAATATGTGAAATTGGTTTTTTCCTCATCCTTCCTCTGTTTTTGCTCGCACAGCAACACAGATGTACTGCCACTGCAGAGGCAGAGCTGGAGCTCTTAAAGCAATAGGAAGAACACACAGTGTCCATCAGCTCCAGCTGTTTTGTTTGGAAGAACTTTGAACCTATTATGATAACCATAGGGTTTTTACAGGATGAGACTGGCAACCACCTTGCTATCCCTGATAGGGCTGAAGGGCACTCTGCTTTTTGCCTCAAAAAACTATCACTTGTGGAGAGAGAGGGAGGAATTGTAAACAAAATATGATTTAAAATGTGGCAAGAATTGACACATTAGATATCATGATATCACCTGAGACAATGTCTGTGTCTCTGCATTAATTCTTTTGTCACTTCAGTGTTGTGATGGTGCTAGATGGGGAGCTAAAAGCACTGCTGAGCTGAGGGCCAGGTTCATGTGCCTTCTTGAGACTCAAAAAAAGAGTTGGGACCAGCCTAATGTATGTACCAAGACCCTCAAAATGTAACCCTCAGGGAGCACGGGGGTTGGAGGTAAGCTCGAGTTTGCAAGCTCTTCCCTGCAGCAATCTGATATATCAGACTTTGCTGTATCCACCCTGCCATTAGCTCTGCTGCATTCTGCCAGCAGGAGCATTGCCTGCTCCATCATTTCTCCATAAAAGTGATACAAGCTTTGTCAGAAGGGGGATGTAACTTATTAGACCACCTGATAAATCTAAAAAAAATGAGAAGAAACTCACATCAGGTACTCAAGCCCTTGACATAGGGCTTGGGTAGCTAAAACCTGGGTTGTGTTTTCCGGCTCTACTAATTGGCCTCATAAAAGCCGTCTTTCGCATATTACTTCTGTGTGGCTGAGACAACAGCCCTTGTGTTGCCAGCAGAAGCATGTGCCAGCTGATATCCAAGTCTAAGAAAAGCCTATTTAAAGGCAGCTCTAAGCTTTGAAATTGCAGCCACCTTGTCTAAGGTAAGCCAAGCATGTGTGGGTTCCAAGCTCTGAAAAAAATTGGCTCCCGCCAGCAAGCGTATATAGGTGTAATTGTATTTATTCCAAGTGTATTTGTGATCTCATTGATTGAGTGCTTTTAAAGGCAGAGTTCTACTTTTCTCACAATCTATTTGATATGCAAACTGATGGGTGCTTTGGTAGGTAAAAATGCTGCTATACTGATGTGGGAACGATGTCAATGCTCTAAAGCTAATCTTCAATTATACAGTAAATAGAGTCTACTCTAGTCATTTAACCTGGCATGCTGTATGATACAAACCAGAGGGTTTTCCCAAATTAATTCCCATTTGAACCAGAGCCTGCCATCTAGAAAAGAAAAAAAAGAAAAAGCAGGCTTTTCTCATCTCTGTGAATCCTTGTGTAAATATCAGGTTTTGCAGCTGCTTACATATGAGACAAGTGTTATTAGTTCAACACTCTGGGCATGCACCAAACCAAGACTTATATTTTCACACTGTTTGCTCAGAGGAGCTCAGAAACCCCATCATCTAGACTAGAGTTTGATGGGCTGGATGAGCAGGGAAGTGGGATTTCATGAGCATATTTTAATTGTTTTTAGTGTAGTTTCTGGTGTCTGCCTGTGGCAGTTCTGGTCATGTGTGTGCAACACTCTGATGCTCTGCGTAGGAAGCTCCTCTGGCTAAAAGTTAGTGAAGGTGGACTGGTCTGAAGGAGAAAAGATGCCTGTAGGGAAAAAAAAATGCCATAACACTTCTATTCAGTAAAAACATGCAGATGAATTTAGTTAAATGTGTTTTCTCACGCTGTCACAAGACCTTCCCTTGCTTCTTTGAGCTGTATCTCCCTGCTGGTTGGCTCAGAGAGACTGCTCTTTGAAGAGCAGGAGGGGCACCACTGCCAACCCCTCCTGGGCTGGATCAGAGCTGCTTGCACATGTATGGAAAAGCAGGAATGTATAGAGGACCCTCCATAGCATTTCCAACCACAGTGCAGTGTAGCAACACGGAGGCTTTGGCACAGCCTTTGGTTGCAAGTACAGGGGAGTGCCCATGCTTCTCTTACAGCTGTGGGCTGGTCAGGAGATGCTCTCTCTTGTCTGCAAGGCTTGGCACAAGTAGAGAGACAATGCTGGGGCATGACACAGTCTGGTTTTTTTGCTGTCTTTGCACCCTTTGATCAAAGGTACATTTGACTTGGCTCTTTTCTCCTGTGCCTACCCTTTTCAGCTTCCCCCCAGAGGTGGGCTGGGAGCTCAGCTGCATCTCTGCCCCACTTCAAACTTGGGCAACACCAGCTGCTGCCAAGGGCCAGAATCGAAGGGGCCCAGTGCCACTTCAAGCTGCTCTTGAGAGCTGGCATATCTCATGCATTTCCATGGCTCCTCCCTGGATCCTTGGCTGTTCCCCTGGCAGTGAGAATCCCTGAGAATTAAATACCGTGGAAAAGCGTTGTTGAAAATGTTCAAGACAAACTGCATTTCATGAGAAAATGCATTTGAAAATGTCAGCATACTGTAAAAGAAGATGAAAAAAGTGGTGCGAATATATGTTGCTTTACTGTCAAAAACTGAGCAGCCCAAACCTGTCCTGAGCTGCCAAAAATTAAAAGCTTTATTTTTTGGCTTGAATATTTTGGTATTTAGACTTTTTCCTGAAAATTCCATTTTTGCCATGGACAAAAAAGCAAGCTACTGGTTTTTTTTTGACCCAATTGAAATCCACTTTTACCTCCTCCCTCCTGAGATTCCAAATAAATGCTGTGACAGGGTAGGGACACGAAAGCTGTGTCTGCTTGGTTGCTGCTCAGACTGCATGCCCAGGCACGAAAAATACATTTTGTTCCCCTACTCTGCCCTGCAGCAGTCGGATCTGGGAGCCGGTGAGAGCCCCATTTCCCTGGGTCCCTGACACAAGGGCTCAAACATGCTAGCAGAACGCAGTGGCGCTTGTGTGTGGGCACATCTGCCCACTGGCTGCTCCCTGCCCACGGGCTCCTCACCTTTATGGCTCAGGAGTAATGTGAAAGAGGGCTCTGAGCCCCACCACAGCCTTACAACTTCATACCCATCAGAGATCCTGCCAGTGCTGCCTGGGTTTTGCCAGCCATGTGGGTTCATAAAAGACATTGCCAACCTGCCACATATTAATTCTGAGACCATCTCATCCAGGGGAGCTCTGCTGTGCCAGCACTGAATTTTGTCACAATACTGCTCAGGTTATCTTCTTCTCCCACAGCAGGGAGTGAGCAGGAGGCTCATGAGAGTCCTGAGTCAGTAGAAAAGAAGAATTTTCTTACTCGTCTGCTGAGCAGTGATGATGGAGCTCATGGCAGACCTGCCTCCCTCCCTCCATCACTATATATCTGATTCCAGCAGCCTGTCTATCATGCTGTCCCCAGGCTCCAGTCGAGGTCCTTCAGCCACACACAGACTGCTGTCCCTACTGCTGAGACCTGTCTGACTCATGGTGTGGGGGGAACAGTAGCTCTGCTCTGGGAGACCTCTCCAATAACAGGATCTGCTGCTGGTGAGGGAGGTAGAAGGACCCCTGTAAGTGATAGGAGAGGGAGCATACCATACTATGTAAGCACTAGACAGGATAAACATCATAATATGGCATATCCTAGAGTGCTAGCAGGGATTAAACTCTGTCACCTTGCATAGGACAAAGCACCTCAGTTCTCACTCCCACAGGAGCATTGGGTAAGACTTTGGTCAAGACCAGTAAGTCAAATGTGTGACACTCCTGGATTACCAAGAGGGACAATTAAAGATTTAGCCTTGAGGTTATCACCAGCACACCTTCACAAAACCTTAAAAGAAGCTGCTGGATTGAAGGAGGCTCCTTTAGGGCTCAGAGGATACTGTGATTCTGGCTTGAAGTTTCTTACTTCCAGATGTGCTTACCATCACTCGAGACATCCTCACCAAGTTTTGTGCATTGACACCTCTCTTCTAGGGAGTAGCCTGAGAGCCTTTTTGGCACTGTCTAGAGAACAGAGGGATGGGTAATGTAAAACAAAGGGAGTAGGCCACTGTCTCATTTTACTCCAGTCAAACAGCTACCAGAAAGTAATGGCAGTGATAGTTCCATTACTACCCCTACTGCTATCAGCAGCCTGGGCTAGATTTGAGTAGCTGACAACTGACCCTCCTGTCAACTCCCCAAATCACTCATTCTTCATTTTACCCAGACTTTTACATCAAGTAGCCATGCAGCAGCTAAAGTACTGTCAGATTATTATTTTTATATCATTATATTGTTGAACCTGACAATATTGAGGTTGGATTGTCTATATTTATATATATTTAACTGTACCTTCTCTCTGTTTGAATAGACAAGCACTCCAAATATTGGGAATGTTTGCAAGTTCCTAGTTTTTTAATGAATCTGGAAAAAAGAAGATAGTAGAAAAATAATTAAAAATATATAAACCATTTAAAACATATCAGTAAATAAAACAAATAATAAAATCAATTATTATCTGTCTCATATGAACCACAGCCTAGGCTGAGATCAAATCTTTTTAATACAGCAGGCACATCTTGAAGACCATTTTGCTAACCATCTGAATTCTTCTGGCTTTAATAGCTCTGTGATTGGAAGCACTCAAAGTCTAGACACAAATACTAATATTTCAGAACAAAAGTGAATATTCATTTATTACAGAAATTGTACATCTTTCAAACTTTTCATTACATTGTCATGACTACATCAAAAACAGCTTGTTGAAATGCAGTTTTAGCTCATTAACCTTTGCATGTGATCTTATTTGTCAGTAATTCTGTATAATAAATTCTGCTAAATATGTGAATACAAAGCTATATATCTGCTATAATCTGCAAAGTTGTAAGTTTCTCAGCAGAGAACATTTTGCATGAAAACACAGTTATTGTTTTGGACAGAGTAGTGAAAGCAAAGGATGTTAGGTAATGAGATGGTCTTGGGAAACCTGGAGGAGCAGGGTATGCCTGTGCAGTGTCTGGGTTTGCCCACGTCCTGCCCCAGTATAATCCCCCATCTTATATTTCAGCAAGCTCAGCTCTTTTAGCAGAGAAATTATCAGAAATGTTCCTTAGCATGCAACAAGAAGTAAGTGGCAACTGATAAATACTTGTTGCAGTATTGAAGCAGCCTGCTTCCGTCCCGCCCTAATTCTGCAAACATATAATTATGGAAGTCAGAAACTAACAACACTATTGTCCTTTCCTGTCGTCCCTCTCCCTTAAGGCCACATCACCCCCATGATATGTCCGTGGTCAGTACTTTGGAAAATCACTTTGACTCCTTCTTCCCTCCCTGCAGGTGCTGTGAATCACTTGCCTGAGCATTGGAGCTCTGGAGAACAAAAATACTTTGCTCAGTGCTCACTGCATATCACATGTTAAAACCTATAGTTTATGAAGGGCTGTACATGTGAGCAACTCTGCAGAAACTCAGTGGGATTGTATCTTTAAAAATATGTATTTTGATGCAAAATGTGCCAATTGGAGAAGAGACAAACAAAGCAGAGAAACCGTATTATCAAAACGATAAATGGACAATATGCACCTGTGTCCCAATATCTTCTCCAGTTCCTCAACTCATGACTCTTCAATCCTTTGTAAATGAAGGCACATTTTCATCTCTGTTTACAAAATATTATCAAAGGGTTATTAAAGAAATCCTCATATGCTGTTTTATCTTCTAGTTCATCTTCTAGTTTTATCTTTATGTTCATCTCCTAGTACAAGTCTGGAAATATTCCTACTGGCATAGAAGGATTTTGACTCAAAATCTGTCTTGATTACGTAGTGGGCAATCTGCTCCTTGCCAACTGGCCTTATTAACCCTGATTGATGCCTAGGAGGCAAAGTGATTATGGTGCTCAGGAAAAAAACATGAAGCACTGCTGTACCATATAACAGGAGTCATAAGCAGATCCTCCAAGGCCAGATTTGAAATCAAGACAAAACAAGGTTCTTTCAGTTCCACTTGATGGACTTTCAAGTTGTGCTTGCTTTCATGTGATGTTTCTTTAATGATGAGAGCTAGCAATGCACAAATGAAAGTGAACAATCTGCGATTCCAGTATCTGGGACTCCACCATCCATCACAAAGAGATGGCAAAGGAATCTGATACAGCCCATCACCAGTCTCACTCTCCTGCCAGAATTTCACAGGAAGTCACAGAATACAGGGCTTCTCCAGAAATTCACTCTGTGGGGAAAACCCACCAGCATTCAGCTGATAGAGTTGTATACTTGGTTACATATTTTATGAGGGAAAATAATATTCTTTCTCTTGTTTTTTTTCAATTTTCAAGTAACTTTTAAAAAATGAGAATCCCAGAATCAGTTGCTAAATAGTTCTAGAATTTGCCTGTTGAGCTTTAATAACTAGCAGCACTCTGAATAAAACTGAAAGTAAGTTCAGGAGATATATTCAGGCACTGCCTTCAGTCTCAGATATTCACACTCATAAAGCAGAATTGTAAGAAAGCCGTGATTAATTTCTATTTATCTCTCCCATTTCCAAAAAGTCAGGTTTATACTCAGTCCTATGTGCAGTCTTTAGCATGTAATAACATAAATAGCTATAGTCCCATATCAAATTGAATTGTCATCTGTTTTTCATCTTCTGCAGGTTCAGATGGCTGTGTGTACACAGTCACAGGTGTACGTGCAGGGTCTGGTTTGGATTTGACACTTCCTCTTTCATCTCACCCATTCCAAGCGCGGCAGTGATGAGCGTTTTGTATCTCCGAAGCCCGTTTCCTTTAGCTGCTCCTTGTCATTTCCTAGCAGGATTTGTCTGTGTATGGGAAAGCACAGCTGGAGAGGGGTGATGTTTGTCCTTTTTCTCCCTACAGCTGCTCTCTCTCTCTGTGTTGAAGCTGTCAAGGAGGCTTCTTGGTCACAATGAGGAGCAGTAGAGGACTGTGACCTTGGAGTCTTCTCAGGACACAAATCAGCTCCCTGGTTTTAATTTGGTACTTCCTGGGGTTTTCGTTGTATACTTATTTTCACTTTTTGCTTCTTGGAAAATAAATTAATGAGAATTGGGGAACTGAGAAGGAAAAGCTGAGTGTCTTGGGCTAATGAGAAGAGGCAGGAAAAGAGCAGGGCAAAGTCCACGGCTAGGGAAGGTGCTAGAGATTAAATGAACCAAAGTTAAACCTGGCTCAAAGTTTGCAGCAAAGGAGCAGATGAGGAAAGGCCAATATCAGAGGCAAAGGTGGTGTTTTTATAGAGGCTGTGAAACCAAGGGCAGGTACTAATAGACTAACTTCAATCTCTATCACACCGTAGCTGTCATTCAACAACAGCATTAAAAGGCACTGAAAGCTGAATTTAAAACGTCCTTTTCTAGACTGAGTTCACAAAAACTCATGTCGCAGCTATGACTGGTAGTCAATTTACCAACAGAATGAGGGCTAGGTCTAAGAAGATCACATCTTACCATGTAAATCTTTACCTTTTTTTTTGTTAGAAGCGTGCTGTCAAAATGATACCTGCGTGTTTCCTAAAATGAGCTAAATGTAGCATGAGGATTACACCTGTCTTTGCCAATTTCTATCATTAAACAATTTCCTGTCTCCAGTTTTGTGCTTTATTTCCTGCTGATGTCTAAAGGATGCACACTGACAGCTGAAGAAAGCGACTGTTGTGAAACACTGGCACTGCCTGTGGGGCCGTGATCAGCAGCAAGACTGACTGGTGAGCCTGGGTGAGATGTTTTCTTTTGTTTTGATCAATCCTTTAGCGTGAGAAAAATGTGGCTTTGGCAGATCTGGCACTATTCACTAATTGGGCTGAATGTACAGATTGACTAAAGCACATGCTTATGGTTTGGGTGATCCAAGTTCAACTCTGCCATCTGCTTCAAGCCTCATCTTCCTGCAGCCCTTGATGAGCAGGCTCTGGGCTGAGCAGAGCTGGCAGGTGCAGCATCTCTCTCAATCTTTGCATACAAAGATTAAATATTTATTAGTGCTGATGGTCCTCTGTGTCCCAGCTCCCACCTGGGTGCCCCAATCACCACACTGTAATGCTCCCTCTGGAGCAATCCTTGTTCAATTTAATGTGCAAAGTGAGACCGCCAAGGGCAGAGGCGGCTAAAGCCTTTCAGTGCTGTGTAACAGTTTGCAAGGATGAGACTGTCTCCTGGGGAAGGGTTGCAGCTATGAACCTCCTTATACAGAGGAAAGCAGGGCAGAATTGGGTTTTCCTTCACTCTGAATATGTGCCAAGACTCTGTGGTGTTCCCCTTTGGGTGTGGAAACTTCTCCAGTCTCTGAGCTGTGCAAAGGACCATGAAAAGTGCTCAAGAAGCTTAAGCCTGCAGGGGGTATTTTAAATCCTTTGTACTAGCATCCTCACCTGGCAAGTTTGGGGAAATTCAGTTAACCAGAAGAGCTGGAAACAAGTGGATAAAGGATAAACAAGTGGAGCTGGGGTAAAGGGCTGTAACACTCTGTAGAAGAATTAAAACTAAGACTAGCTGCATTCTCTTTTGGCTTTTATCAGTTCAGGTGAGATGCATTCAAGTACTTCTGAGGTCTAAAGATTGTCCCAATCAACAACACAACTGCAGAACTGATTCTTTCCTTTAAAATTTCACAGGCCATAGTAGGTAAATATAGTTCAATCACAAATAGATGAAGAGTGTTCTTTCAAATCTTTTTTTCTGTCTTCTAAGAGTGCCAAGTAGTACCAGTTTGGAAGTAATTTCTGAAATGTGGACATCTGTCTTCTAGGATCTGTACTGAAAACACCATCTTTTTTCATATGGCTTACCAAACAAGTCATTCATTAGTAACTAGTTTCAATTCTAATGACTTTGGGTCTGACTTTTGGTTGTAACTCTTGAACTTCATGCCTCTGTCAGTGGGGTTTGCATGAGGATACATCTGAGTGCAGAATTGAATCTGTCCCTCTTTCTGGTCAGATTAATTATTTTCATGTGATGTTTTACAGGTCTTCATTGATCTCCAGAGAACTTCTAATGTCTGAGAAAGAAAAAATTGCAGAAGAACAAATATGCCATAAAATTACTCTAAAAGTAACATTAATCTCCTGTTTGAGATGTTAATTTTTAGAAGGAGATGCTTTGGAATATACCCTGAATCTTGTAATTAAGTGACTGGCTTTATTATTGAGGCACTTAAGCAATCTTCTGAGCTGAGAAAGTATGTGTTCTACACCCAGATCTTTTAACAGTAATTGAAAGGTATTTCACATCAGTCCACATGCAAGAAAAAGTATTTCATCAGTCTGAAGTAAGGTATAAACAACCTCAGGAAGTTTGGAATATGTTATTAAAACTGTTCTCTAGTATCCTTGTTACAGGGTGTTTTGGCTTCTCATCCTTCAATGTAAACTTATTATGTAAGTCATTTGTTGGCTCACCTCTGGTCTGTCCCATGATCTCTCATCAGAAAATCACACTGTTTTGTAAGTGTGGTATGAAAAGAGAGACTGCTGTATGCTGCTATTCATTCATTTAATGATTCATCTTGCTTTTCTCCTCTTTTAAACCCCTTCTGTATCTGAATTTCAATCTACCTGTGCCCTGGGCATTTCTTCTGACTTGCTCTTTCCCATGTCTTGGGCACACCTGTACTCAAAGACATCCAGCTTGGCTTTGGTCACTGCCCTGGGCATGGTGTCAGGCATGTGCTGGCCCTCAGGCCCTGCTGCAGCCAGGGGAGACACCCTGTGCACACAGCACTGAAATGTAAAGGACACTGAAGAGGAGCCCCTTTGCTCCCCTCTGCTGAGCCTCCCCAGAAACTGGCCCTCTCTAAGGTCTGTACACTGTCCCATGGCAGGCATGCAGCCACACTCAGGCTTTGCAGAGAGAAGTGATGTGTCCCTAAACCTCTGCAGAAACCAAGAGGCGTTTAAACCTCTTTAAAAAGGGAAATGGGACACACAGATATTTGTGTTTCCTGTTTCCAGTCAGTGCCTTTGCCTCTTACCTCACATTTGATGTATTAAACTAAAGGATGCCACAGACAGATGCCATACCTAAAGGATTTGAAATTCAACCAAAATATCACTCTTTGAAAAAGCTTTAAAGCTTTGAGGCCCTGTAGCTGTGGATGCAACAAGTGCTGTTCATTAGTGCTAAGGAGGTACATCTGTATGTGGCCACAGAAAAATATGAAACATGAATATGAAATATTTACAGCACTGAACAAATACCAGGTAGTTAATTTTCTTTCACAGCATCTCTTGAAATGAGTAGGTCATTGTGTTCCTAGGATGATATCTGATATCTCAGAATCTTCAAAAGTCTTCAGAGTTTTGCCACTTCTTAAAGAGACATCTATCTCTTTAGAAGACCCTTGACCCCATCCTTTTATTAGCCACGCACCTCATGCTGAATAGAACAATGTTGGTAAATCACCCTGTAAATCAACTAACAGAACTGAAAACATCTGAGCAATGGAGACTGCTCAGCACCACCACCACCAATGGAAAGTCAGCTGGAACTTGTGGTGAGGTTATCTGAAGTGTCCAGAAGCCCCAGAACCAGTATGAGCTCAGCTTCCCTCAGGGCTTCCTGCACTGCCTATCTGACCATCAGGAATTGCTGGCACTGAGGCCACAGGTGGGTGGCTGCAGGAGGAAGAGGGTGAAGACAGGGGCTAAGCAAACCTTCAGAAATATTCCTGCCTTGCCAAGATTTGACATGCTCATGCAGGAGTAACTGGAAGAAATGCATTTGTGGCAATGAGTCCAAAAAGAAACCCATTAAGTGGGCATTGCCAGTGTTTGTAGATACTTTTTCCGAAATTGCTTTGGAAGTGGAACCAACCCTGAATATTTCTTTTCTTTTTACAAAGGTATATTTAAGACACCATTTTGAAAAGGTTATTAAGTGGCTGCAAGGTGATATATTGGGGACTTAATTAACAGAGCTGTGAGGTGAGGGGTGAGCAGCAGGATTAGAGAAACCCAGAGCTGGCGGTGGCAGGGGTGGTGAGGCTGGGGAGGAGAGTGGGTGGCTGCAGTGGCCAGGAGGGAGGGCAGCAGCCTGCATCACTGTGGGGAGAGCAGAAAGCTTGTGCTTGCAGAGGGAGAGAATACACAGCAGCTGTCCTAGTCTGTCCTCGTGGCAAGTTGAAGCCCATCAGTAAAAACTGCTATGGTTGATATACACTGTAGTTATGATATATAACAATAGTTACACACTATTGTCCCTCAGGAATTAATAATGTGTTAATGATACCTTACCTATTAATAAGTGCTATAATTTAGGTAACACAGAATTTTTCTGTTCTTTCTCTTGCTCTACATTTTACTCCCTCTAAAAAAGGCAGGTCTTATTTGCTTACCTGAATTGCTTTTGCTGTTTTTGCTACCACTGCTATAAATTTCCTAGGAAACCACCCTGCAAAGCCACGGTAGGAATTCAAAATTTCTTCAAGGTCACTCACATCAGAAGTGTTGTTCAAAGCTTTTAAAATAGCTAGCCTGGTGCTGAGTCAAACATATTTTTCTTGACTTGATTTGTATTAAAGGCCTGAGCTACAAACCTTACTCAGGCAAAACTTTATTTTAACCAGAGCTTTGGCTCCTGTTGTGGCCTGGCTTTGCTTGCTTCAGTAGAAAACAACTTGCACGATACCCTGACCTACACATAGAGTCTGACATTAACTTTCTTTGACCAAAGCATCCTTGCTCATCCTGTGCAGGCAGATATGGTTATCACAACAGATATGGTTACCAGATATGGTAACAGAGAGGGAGGGTTTGGACAAACCACTGGGACACAGCCATTTCCTGAACCTCAGGCACAGCTGGGTTAGGTCATCGTGAAGATCAGTCCATTCTTCTGGGACAGC